ATGTAATGTTATTAATTTTTAATTGTTATTGTTATTATTTATTACTTTACTTACTTATTGTTAATGTTAGTCATCCTAAACCGAAGGTCTAAAATGAGCATGTATATTTACAATACAAACATGTCAACATATTTCATATTTGTAAAAAAAAAAAATAAATAAAAAAATAAAAAACTATATTCGGTGCGGTTCGGTTAAAACCGCATCATTCGGACAAAAAACCGAACCGCACCGAAACTTGTGCGGTTTTCCAAAAGTTTAACCGCACCGAAAACCGAACCTTAAAAAACCGAACCGAACCGCACCGAATACATCGGTTCGGTTCGGTTTTTCGGTTTCGGCTCGGTTTTGCTCACCCTAACCGTTGCAAAACGGTCAAAAAAATTAATAAAACAAAATAATAAAAAAATGCAAAAAAATCCTCAAATGAAAGAATAATATTGTAGTTTTTAGTGCTAGAGATATTTTAACAAGTAGGCCGACGCTTATCGTGTGTTTAAAATCAAATACATACTCAATTCAGATATGATCACGAGTCACTCGGACCACGGTCCGCCCTAGACCCGGCCCAGAATCGGCACGAACACTGCCTGGTACAACTCTTTGACCACGGGTCTAGGTTCGAAGGCAGATTTACACCGGGCCAGTTCAGGGTCATATATATGTATACGACTCAGCGGGTCATGCCAGGGCCTTTTTTTAAAAAAAAACAAATTTATTATTCGGGTCGAGTGCAACTGGTTTGGGACCCGGGTCAAACTCCTGGTCAAAAGGTTCCAATCAAGGGTCCAAAAATCTTACTATTAGAAATAGGGGTGCACAAACTGCGGTTAACCGACCGAAACCGACCGAAATCGAGAATTCGGTTTCGACCGAAACCGGAACCGAAAAATTGGTTCGGTTTTCGGTTACTAGTTTCTCCATATTTCGGTTTTCGGTTCGGTTTGGCTATAACCCTTCGGTTAACCAAACCGAACCGAAAACCGATAATATACATATAATTAAAGGGCCCAATATATGTTGTATTATACAGGCCCAATATATGATGTATTATGCAAGCCCAAAGCTGTACCATGCCACCCACTACAAATCACGCAGGCCCATTTTATTATCACTCATCTTCCCATAATCCATTCCATCGATCCGTATACA